TTCTCTGAAAAGAATCGTACTGTGCACTTCCATTATAACTTTATTTGGAAGTACCTAAGTACTTCACAAATATTCATGAAGTTAAGTCTCCCAGTACCTACATTCAGTGTGCACAGTTAGAAAACAAGCTCTATCAAACTCCTGTTATGCCCATTTCATTGCATTTCCATATTAACTGTTCTTCCCCTGGATGGTACTCTGTTCTTCACTGCGGTTCCAGCTCCCAGGCCAGGAAACAGCAAGGGATTTGGATGACTGGAGGGGTGGTGGGGAATACAAAAATCCCTAGGAAGCTTCAAAGGCTGTCCTCTGGGTTTCCCAATAGATGGACAACGAAAAAGAGGCTGTCTTTGAAGATGGGCCAAGAGAAGCCAGAATGCCACTTCTTTTAGAGGTCATTGTTCTGCAGAGAGATGTACTTTCACTGTATTCTGGTGCTAAGGAACCCAAAGTACAGGCTTCTAAAAGGTGCTAGTTTCAAAGGAAGGCAGCTGCCTCTGCAAATCTTGGAAAAATAGGCATCCTCATTCAAGCCCTTATAATATACACTAAAAAAGTTTTCTGTTTACCTAGGCTACCTGAATGATAAGATTAAATCAGTTTATCTTTGGTAAGAATTTCAGGAAGAGGAAAAAAAAATTAGGATCAAACCCCCCTGCATTGAAATCAGTAAAAAAACCCAACAGGACAAAACAAAACCCCCTAACAATATATGTTGCTATGTATGTGAGACAAGTAAGCAATAAAATTTTATTTGTAGCAAAAGCAAGTGAGTTGAATGCACAGAACATGGCCAAAGGAAGACCAAAAAAAAAAGAGGACACAAGTATTAAAAGATAAATTGAAACTCAGAATGCTGTATAAAGAGATATGTTTTAATGACATGCAGTAGAATTAAATTAGGAAACGGAAAACATAACTGTTAAATATGGGGGGGAAGCATTTAATAATGACAATCTAAAAAGCTACAGAACTGTATTGTAAAGGAAACTTGGAAAAATTTCCCTGTATCATTAGGACCTGGACTGACTAAAATCTGCAAATTTTCTTTATGAAAATAATTCCATATTGAGGAGAAAGACAATTAAAAAACAGGTCATCAGTTTTAGTTCTCAGAACTGCTTGAAGGTGATTAACACAACATCTTCCATTCAAGCCTGAAGTTTAGGACAAAATAAGGCCAATGCTATGAGATAATACAACAAAAATCTTAAAAAACATCAACTTGGAGAACAAGTTATTTAAGGAAAAAACACAGTAACAGCAAATGACAGAAAAATGCTCTTCAGCTTTTATTCATATGATGGGAGTTTTAAGGTATATTTTTACACTTATATTTGATTTTTGTTTATTGACTTAGCATTCAAATGTAAAGTAAATCTGCACGTTCAATACTACCTTATTTGTCCCCAAATAGACAACACCTGTTCTCTGAAGATGAGAAAACAAATATTCTTAGACATACATATACATTCATGCTTCCTCATGGATGTACAAGAAATACAAACCTGTATGGAAGTAGGTGGAATCTTTTGCACTATGAGGACAGCAAGAGTATTCTTCCAGCCAGAAGCTTGCTGAAATCATTCATATTGATGCAGAAGTAAAGGTATAACTGGCTCATTTGGACTGTGCATGGGGTGTCACTTTGCCCAATATATTAAAAAAAAAAAGTAAAAGAAAGATGCATCTATTTACAGTGGCAGCTTCACTCTCTCTCTCTCTTTGCTCAGCTGTGTCAGCTCTGGCAGTAATGAGCATAAGCACTAATATCACTGGGGTTTGTTCCTTTGCAGCCATTCTCCCACACAGATTTATAAATATGACTCTGATGGCAGTACCAGCCATTATGACTCTCACATCAAGAGACTGATGCACACTTAAGGCTTGGGTTGATTACTGTCTTTGAAAGAATCTTTCTCAGTATTAATCAAATTGGCCTGCTCCCAGCAGCAAAGTACCAATGCCTGCCACAGACAACACACACCCAGCCGTGACTCTGCCCTATAGCAGGGTCTAATGTAAGATGCACAGGAGCGGGAAGGACTGAATGCTCCAAATGGCCTCAAAGATAACAGCAAAAAGCATACAGAAAAGTAAATTAGTTCCTTGTATAAATCCCATTGGAATTGTGTATAAATTTTTTTTTTCTGTGGGACTCTTCCATCAGTGATAATTACCAGGGCTGAGGGAACAAGAGGTAGAGCAGGGCCAGCTGCTTCGGTCTCACCTTCCTCTTGCATTGGCAACACAGTTACATCATGCCTACAGCTTGCAGTTTTCAAAGTTGATTCAGAATCCATGCTGGTTTATAACTGATTCTACCAGCACAAATGAACATGGCTTTTTAGCTGATCTCTCTTCATTTACTGGCAATAAAACATAAAAATTCCAAATGACCTTCCAGGATTTATGCAACGTCTTCACGGTTCAGGCTGCCTTTCATCATGACATTTTCTTCGTATGACAAGGACTCTAAAATGCCTCTTTTCCAGCACTTTGGAGAAGGAACCACTCCAGAAGTTTCCCATTTTTCAGATGTTCCTCAAGAAGATGGATGACGTTTTACACATAAAAGTGATGATGATTTTATTAGGATGGTCAATGAAATATCAGCGACATACAGAGAGAATATGGCATGTCTGAACAATGTGCCTATCTCAGAAATCTAGCCAATTAAAGGCCATCATTATACACTCAGTCAACATTACTCCCAAATGAAATTACTAATTATAAGGTGTGATTTGCTTTAGCAGCACTGCAGCCTACAACTTGAATCCCGCCACCTTACAGAGACAATTACTACTCTTCCAGCAGCCACTCTTGATTACATTCGGAGCTGCAGAAGATACCTTTAGCTTTCTGTGGGGACCTGAGGGGACAGAAAGTGTCCCAAAATACCTCTGTGGAGAGAAAATTACTATAAACCAAGTCTATCTGATAGTCCAAATGTTTTATTGTGTAACAGGGACTGGCATGCAGATGGATTCCAGGGTAACCCAGCAATGTGGCCTCTGCGGGACCTGCTGTTATCTCCCTCTGACAGGAAGGGATTCAGATTAAACAGTAGAACGTGTACCGGAACAGCCTTGCTGCAGGTCACGAGACCCAACACCACTGCTAGAGCTCCAGTACTGAACTGCTGGAGAGACACAAGCAGCTCAAGAGCCACTGGGTACACACGAGCTGGGCCACTCTCACCAACAGCAGCACGATCCACAGTGAGAAATAATCATAGTAAAAGAAGTTACTGCCAAAGTTGCTGTATTTTGGCCTGCACCAATTCCAAAGATTCCTTCCCAGCTCTCCCAGAATTCCTTAAGATTTAAGATATTTTAATAGCCTTGAATGGTAAACTGGGCTGAAAGGAAGTGTCCTTGATTTCACCCCAAAGACTAAGAAAGGATGGCACAGGTCACAGGTGCAGCACCAACAGGAAAGCCAAAATAAGCTGCTTGAAGGCATAAGAATGCATACCAATTTGCAATGGAAATGTGATTCTATCCCTCTCTCTTCCTAGAAATGCTAATCTTCCGTTAGTCTTAAAAAAAAAAAAAAAAAAAAAAGCGCCAAATCAAGCTCTTGCCTAACAAGACACAAATCTTGCCAGGAAGACCAAGATGAAGCCAGAACACAGCCAATTTTATCTTGGGAGAAGGAAGGAGCACAGTGGTTTTAAACCTTCTAGATCAGCAGCTGTGGCAGCACATCAGCCGGATCAGGGAGAAAAAAAAATTTCAGTCAGATAGGAAACAGAGCATTCTCCTGAACAAATTATGCTAAGAAATAGCTCTGGAGTTACTGCTCCAATGCTGTGAGCAGAAACAGCAGACTCAATTGCTGGAGGAGAAAAAAAACCAAAAACAAATCGTAACAAATTGCCAAAAAAACTGAGAACAGAGATCTTTGTCATTAATTGGTTAGGAACAGTCCATAATTATAAGATTTATAAGAAGTAAATTTGGAGTGCCTTTGCATGGATGACTGAAACCTTAGTATTAATCACTGCTCGTATGGAAGGAAAAAGGTCACAGCTAAGGCTAGCCAATTTTTTTTTCCCCTAAGGATCGAGTGAAAGGCCAGACCATGTCTCTGGGAATTCGTCATCAAAACGGTACCGGACCGTCATCTCCATCCTAAACCCAGCGGGCAAGACATGCGACCCCCGCGCTGCCTGCCAGGAGCGAAGTTCCCTTGAGGAGCGATCCCCCCGCTCCCTCGGCACCGGGGCCGGCGGGGCTCCCCGGAGCGGAGGGTCTCCGCAGGCATCTGGTTGCTGCACGGGTCACCCGGAGCCCTGAAGCACTGCCCTCGTCCCGCAGGGGACAGGACCCGCAGCGGGGGCAGCTGGGGATCTGCCCGCAGCCTCAAGGAGAGCGGCGGCGCCCGCAGACGGGGCGGGGGCAGCGCCCGCCCTCTTCCCTCCCTCTCTCCTTCTTCCTTCCCACCCCCGTGACTCACCCGCCGCTCCCGGCGGCGACGAGCCGCCAGCGCCGAGATTACCGCCCCGGCCCGGCCCGGCCCGGCGCTCCCCAGGGGCCACCCCCCGCCCTCCCCGAGCGGGCGGGTCGGTCAGGGCGCTGTCCCCGCGGGACGCGTCACCCCGCAGCCCTCGAAATAGCTCAGCGAGAGGGGCGGCGCCGCCCCGGCCCTCTCCCCGTCCGTCCGTCCGTCCGTCCATCCCGCACTGCCCCTCCGCATCCGCGGCGCCTGGAGCGCACCCCCGGGCCGCGTCCCTGCGAGCAGCGGCGCTCCCCGCCCTGCCCCTTTCCCCCGGCCTGCCGCCGCCCCCCCGCCCGCCGCTGCGCCTGCGCGCCCTCGCCGCCCGCGCCCCGCCGGCTGCGGCCGCCCCGCCCCGCCGATTTGAATATGCTAAGGAGCGGTTACCGGGGCCCTATAGTGGAGCCAGGAGGCAGTCACGTGGGACTGGGACGTGTCCTTGAGGGGCGGGGCCGACCTACCCAGGCTGCCTTAAAAACGGGAGGCGAGCGAGGAAGCGCCTCAGTCAGAGCGAGAAAGTGCCGGGGTAGCGGGGCTGCGGCTGCTCCGCCTGAAACTTCTGAGTAACATCAACAGGGGGAGGGGAGGGCGGGCGGCGGTGGAGGAGGAAGGTGGCGGTGGGGGGAAGGTTAGCCAGCAGCGCAGCCCTATCCGCCTCTCCCTCATAAACCAGCCTGTGTTGGGCTGAGCAGGCCCCTCACACAAAGGAGGGCAGGGCAGGCAGGGCTGCCCCCCCTTCCCCCCCGCCTCGGCAGAGGGGCAGCGGGGAGGCGCCCTTCCCCGTGCACAGCACTCACAGCCACTTACTCCTCTCCCGTCCCCCGTCTTCTCTCTCCCCCCCTTCCCCTCACCTCCCCCCACGGTTCTCCCCTCAGCCCCCCGCCCGCTGTCCATGTAGCCGTCCGGCCGCCGGCCCCTCCGCACTATGCCCATCTTACTCTTCCTGATAGACACGTCCGCCTCCATGAACCAGCGCACCCATCTGGGCACCACCTATCTGGACATAGCCAAAGGCGCTGTAGAGACTTTCATGAAGGTACCGGACTCTGCCTTGCGAGAGGAGGCGAGAGAAAGCGAGCGAGAGTGACTGCGCGGGGAGGGGAGGGGGCGGCAGGGAGCGGGGGGCTGCCTGGGCCGGGGGCGCGGGGCGAGGGCGGGCGAGAGTGAGCGAGAGAGTGCGTGCGTGTGTGTGTGCGGGGAGGGAGGGGAGGGCCGGGCCGAGCCGGGGGGCTCCGGCGGCGGCGCCGCCTCTCGGCTCACCCTCTGCTTTGTCCCCCGCGCCGCAGCTCCGAGCCCGGGACCCGGCCAGCAGGGGAGACAGGTACATGCTGGTCACTTTCGAGGAGCCTCCCTACGCTATCAAGGTAACCCCCGCTCACTCCTCCCCTCCTCCCCGGCCTCCTTCCGGCCCATCCGCCCCCCGCCTGCCTCGCCCCGGCTGCCGGCGGTCCCGGGGAGCGCGGCACACACGGGCTCCGGCGGCGGCGCTGACATCAACATGGCCGACGCTTTTCCCCTGTGCGGTGTGTGCGAGCAGCAATGAACTGTGGGGGATATTTATTCAACTTGGGAGAAGTGACAGCAACTCCAAGGAGAGTTCGGCTGGGAAGGGGCGAGCAGGGGGAAGGACCGACTTCAGCCCGGAGAGCCCCGGACTCGGAAGGGGACGGCACTTCCCTGGCCCCGCCGCGGCGGGGGGGGACGCACCGCGCGGGGGAAGGGGGCGGTGGGTCCACATGACACAGGACGGTGAACCTGTTGGAGGTCGCTTCGCGGCGCAGTTGGCTTCCATCTGCAGGGCTCTGGGAGGGTGATGTAAATAACTCTAAGGTTTGGGCACCGGGGTCATCAAAGAAACTTGTCCCGTGGAACAAAGCAAAAATGCTCGTTTGGTATATGGGGAGCTCTAAGGATTAAGAGAAGTGTATCGTTTCAGGCTTTTTGGAGCAACATCAAATACTAACTTCTGAGGTGTTTTATTATCATTTGTAGTGAGCTGCATGCAGCAGGGGAGGCTCTTTGTAGCCTAACAGGAAAGCAAAACTCGTATCTGCAGAATAAATCTTTTCGCATTTCCCTTTGCAGGCTGGCTGGAAGGAAAACCATGCAACGTTTATGAATGAACTGAAAAACCTTCAAGCTGAAGGACTTACGACTCTTGGCCAGTCCCTAAGGACAGCTTTTGATTTATTAAACTTAAATAGATTAGTAACTGGCATAGACAACTATGGGCAGGTAGGTTGACTGTTACTAGGTGGAAAAATCTTAAAACACAAACTTCCCAGAGACAGCGATTAGCTAGTTGTCCAAAGTGGCATCTTCATGGAATGTTCAATATGGGGGCTTCTTCAAAAATTAAGCAGAACTCGACTACCTTGAAGAAATACAGCCAGTGAATTTGGTACCCAACTTACTTTTATTCTTCAATTTCAGTAATTTCTCAGTTTTTAAGCTGTGATACAGCCTCCAAGTTGACCTTTTCAGTTCAAATTTTTCCTTTTTTTTTTGTTAAGTCTGTGTTCAGTACCTTAGCTGGTGAGCCTCATAGGGTTATGAAAACTTTGTTTTCTCTATACAGTGCTGAACAGTTTGGGAGATGAGCCATTTTTCTAACAACACTGCATGTCCAAAAGTACTGGAAGGAGCACTTTTTCAAAACACTTCCTTTCCAGTGAGTTTACCACAACATTTCTCTGCATACTTGTATTTTTGTGAACTTGCCTATTGTATCAGAGCCTTTAGAAGCTGTGCTTTTTTTCATGTCATTTTTTTCAACTATCCCTTTAAAACAGGAGTTTTTTGGTGTGGGCCAGAATTCTCATGCTCATTAGTATGAGCTGCTAAAATACAGACATTGTAGGTTAAACAGCATGCCTTAGGACTCAAGAGTTCTTTCTGCTGCTGGATAAAAGCCTGGATTTGTTTCACATGAAGGATACTACTAGTACTTTTCATGTGGGGCACACCAACTTGAATCTCCCCTTTTTGTTTGTTATTCTCATGTAATTGTCCACTATCTGAGGATCAGTACTTAGTACTGCTCTTGGTATTTCATGCGGGAATGTGGTTGTGAACATAAGTCCCCCTTCTTCCCCCACTATTTCCCAGTCTAAGCAGAGTTTGTGATAACACGCCACATGGGTTTATGAAGGAAATTTGTCATGGTGCATTGTATGGCTTTGCCATGAGATGATCAAGTGAGCTAAACATTTTAGAAATGCCTGTTCAGTGATGAAACTTTAAAAACTCTTCCTGTGGCCATCTGATGTCCTCATACATCTGTGTGTAATTTTCCCATTTTTCTGGTGTTTTTGTTTAGTTACAGGAGCTATATTCTTGAACACTTAACCTCTGTGGGCCCATACACAAAATATTGCTCTTTCCAATTGCTACTGATAATTATTCTAATTAAACCCATGTCAAATAATTTTCTCTAAGTGAGCCAGCTGTGATCAGCTACTCAAGTAGGCAGTTGAGTTGTCATGATTGTTTGGACTCGCTAGTAGTGTTCGTTCCTGCGACAGCTGCTCTTTTGCCTGTGAAACAATGACTTTTTCTTTGTCTGATCTGTTCTGGTTGTAAGCCTCTCTGGGCTTGAACCCACTGTCACTTAAGCACATTTTTGCTCCATTCCACATGTGGAGCTGGCTGTTGAAGAGGTATTCACAATCTGCAGTCAGGTGCCTAAATAGAAATTTTAACTCTTTAGCGTATGCAAAAGTAGATGACTCTATTGCAAGTGGCAGGTCACCTGCTGCTAAAGTCAAAGGTTCCCATTTTGACTATTCTAACCAAAATAGCAATTTTTAAAAAACAAAATCAAATTCCACAACGTTTAACTGTCAGTATTTGCAGGATGAGCTCTAGGGCAGCTAATTGTCTTCATCTTCACATTGGTCTTTAAAACTATGGCTTGATAGCCTGTCATCGTCCTGTTACTTTTGTCTACCATCTAAAATTTAGTCCAGACAAATTCACTGTTTGACCGTTTGAGAAACTTAAAAATCCAGGAAAATAAAAGTGGTCAGAATGCTCATTTGCATTTTAAATAGTTTTCACTCAGAACATAAATCGCTGATTAACTTTTTTGTAAAGCAGCTACAAATATTAACACTATAAAACAGTAGTTAACTGAAATACAGCAGGCAGATATTTGAAGACTGAGTATGTCAGAATAAGAGAAGATAATTTTATGAAAAATAGCAACATACAGACCATCTTAAGTGTGAAACTATGTGGCGTAATAAAATCCAAATTTATTAATATTCTGTGGGAAATTTCTCTGGCTAAAAATCTTTTGACTGTCAGGCTTGTATTTTGGTGTATTGAGAAACTTCTAAGATATTTGCCAAGATCCACTTGTTACACAAAAACAAATTGTAAACCAGACTTTTGTTACATGTGCTATTGACAAGACACGATACAAGCCTGATGGGATTGTCTGGTTATGTCTCCACCAGTGTTGTCTTGTACCCCTGCTGTGTGTGAACTGTTGGTTTAAATGGCAGAGTGACTCAATTTCTTTCAGAGTTGACCAGAGTTCTCTGTCAGCTGACCTTCTGAACAAGAATGATGGCTGAACGGTCATTCTGGAGTTGGGGAAAATCTGCTTCATATTTTCTTGCTACATTAATGTTTGGATTTTTATTACGAGTATTTATCGTACTGCATATGCAGCGATTCAGTTACTACGTGATCAGCTGATCACAAGATCTCACATTTAGATCTTAAAGGACACTGTCCACACACTTAGATTGTCAAGAGCCTGGAAGATTTTTTCATTAGCTATTTCTTATATAAATGCTATGGTAGGGCTTTATAAATGTTTTTTCTTACTGAGGGATTGCTAGATCCAATTGTTTTGGAGGCTTTTGTTGAGAAAAAATGGTTTTGAAAAGTACACATTTTAAGGTGGCTATTCCTTAAACTTTTCCAGCACATTCAGATTGATAATTGCAGTATTATACTGCTTGGATCCAATAAGTTTTTTTTCCCTTTAGTATGCTTTATGATTATGATAGCAGAAGAATAAACCTTCAAATAGAGTGTCAGCTTTTAGCATTCACTGAAAATAGTGATCCTTTTCATCTGCATTTTTATGGAGAGCTTAGGAAAAAAATATAACATTTCGATGTCTCCAGGAAGAAATCAGTTTAAACACATCAAATTCAGTAAGGGTTTACTGTCCCATCACACAAAATATTGTACTTCATTAGCCCAGTCTACAATTAGATAATTGGCTTATTTTCTCCAGTTCAGCTTTTCCATTATTTCAGGTAGTCTCAAATACCAAGCCTTTTACCAACAGGTTTTTTGTCCTCTTGAAATATGCTCTTAGGTCTTGTAGCTATGGCTTGTTTAGCAGGACATGAGTAGTCACGATTTAACCAAATAGTTTTGAGTATAGCACATGTGCAGCTTGTTTTAGTTGATAGAAAGGTTAGACACTGATAGACGTTTCTGTGGAAACAGAAAGCATTCAAAATGTAACTGCTGTTACAATAGAGTGAAAATGTAAACAAATGGTTGAAATGAGCCATCAACTTCAGTTACTTGCAGTTTGTAGTGAGGTTTCTGAGACTAGGCACTGAATCTGAGGTAGGTAAAATACATATCAATGGTGTTTTGATATGTGCCAAGGACCAACGTAGCTCTACCAAAGCTGGAATCTGATGGATGTTTGAGATTGCTAAAATTCTGATTTACTGATACCCTGTCTGTTTCACATTGCCTCTTGTGGAATGATGAAAGTCTCTTACTGTTTTTTCAGCAGTATTGCATAGCATAAGGTTTGAGAGCATAAAATACACTTAACTGAATGGATTTCAAAGTATTTTTACTATTTTTTCAGGGTGAAATTCCTTTAATACTAAATACAGCAAATGCTTTTCAATAATATAAGCTTTTTATGAGTTTTTTTAATCTCATTAGTGTATCTTGCATATTTTTGAGCAGCATTACTACTGCTATGAGATGAGTTTGACTTTTAAACAAATCTAATGTAACAAAAGCACATGCTAACTTTGTTGCGCTGAAACAGAAAAGTCAACTAATGTGTGTAATACAACTGGATTTAGACTAGGTATTTTTCATTCACAGTGATGAATAAGATGCTGCCTGGATTTAGGTTAGCACAAGAAACACTGTTTGGGTCACTTACCAGGCTATGTAGAGTCTTGGTGAAAGCCTTTTATTCTGTAGTGTATATCACATATGAACAGAAGCATAACTAAAGTTTTTTGAGGAAAAAACTACAAACCAAGTGGAATTCAACTAATAAAGAATATTTTTTAAGAATACACTCAGAGCTGAAGTTGGAAGGTATCCTGCATATGATGGCATTGTTTTTGAATAAGTTTTTTCCAAGTGTTTTGGTCATGCCATGTATGACCATCAAACAACACAATCTGAGGTTAGCTGCTACTTTATAGTTCTTTCTTAGTATAGGTTGAGACCCATTTATAGCTACAGTAGCAGAATTGCTGATGTGCTTCCACAGTGAAACTTGGCATTGGTCTGTAAGTTCAGGGTGCTTTGCCACAATGGCTTAAATACTGCAGTATTCCAAATACAGGTACACAGTGTACCTAGGAGATAATGTCTAATCATACTTGGAGACACAAGACAGCTTTAAGTCACACATTCTAGGTTGACTGCTTGCCTGTATGCTTGTCTAGGTTCTCCTGAGCTTATAAAACCACAAAAATCACACGTGAAAGAGATCCTGTTCCTTAACATGGACTACATTAGGCTTCTGTAGTGATACGTTCTGTTTTCTTTAAATTGTTGAGCAGTTTTATTTTCCCAAGAGACTTTTGAGGATTCTTACTGAATTTTGTTACTCTCAAAAGTCAAAATCCTTTGAAGTATGGCTTCTGTCTTGGTATTTTGGGATCATTATGCACTGCACTGAAATGGCCTGTGCTGCATGTGCCTCCAAATTTGGAACCAAAGTTTAGGTTAGCATTTCCTGCTTTGTCATGCTGGCACAGTTGCGCATGCAGTTTGCTTCTCATGTTGGTAGAGACAGAGATTTACACTTCCAGAGTAGCTCCCCTGATCTTTTTTTTGTCCCCCTCCCCCAAGAAAACCAAACAGGACCATTTCAGACAGTAGTAAACAACATCACAAGTGTAAGTGTAATAATGGCAGAAATATGAGAAGCTTTCTCACAGTCTCATTTTTTTCTGTGGAATGACAATGGATTTAACATGAACATGTATGCCTACTGATGT